CTATGTGGGCGGCGGTTGCGGCGAGAGAAGTACTACCTGAACAACAGGCGCCTGCAGTTGCCCTTCGCCTTGGAGGAGCAGCACGAATTTTGGCACGAGAAAAATACCGCAGGAACATCTACGATATGGTGCCATTGTTGACCCAGGCGACGGATAAGGCGCGCGAAAGCTATCAGGGCTTCAGCTGCTACTCTTGGTGCTGTCAAAGTCTTTCCCACCACTTGGTGACGAGAGCGACAGCCGAGCGACCAGCGACCTGCCGGGCTTCTACAGGTATATGCACGAGAATATCGACCAGACGCTGAGCAGGTTCGAGGTTGCGCGACGACGAGCAGCAGCCCTAAGAGGATTTCATATGGGAGCTCAAGGCTACGCGTGGATGTTGCTCAACGCCTTGGGCTGTAGCCCGGCCGAGTGGAAGGAGTTGCTGATACACTTCAGAGGCCATCTTCCTCGGACGGAGCAGCAGTTCAACGAGTTGGTAGAAGACGTACGGCAGGACGGACACAAATTGGAGAACGGCCCGATGTCGGCGAACCGGCATGCCAGAGGCAAGGGCTCGGGTAACTTCGTTTTTCCCACATTCAACTTCGGTGGCGGACAGGGAACATATCAGGATGAAGAGCCACATCCCGGAGGAGGCATGGCGGCAGCCGCTTAGCAGTCAGGACAATCATCGAGCTGGGTACCCACGACTTCGTGGACGCCTTTGGCACCTCCGCCGGATTCGTCGCAGGGATACCTCAACAACAGCGGACAGGACGATGACAACGATGCGGACACGGATGAGGACGATGGCGAGGACCTGGACGGATCAGACTTTCCCGGGCAGATGGGTAAGGACGACGACCTTATCCAACAGTACTTGTATAAGGACGACGCATTCCACAAGAAGCGCTGGCGGCGATTCACCAGGAGACCCACCAGGTACTAGCGATTCGGTAAAGGCAAGAGTGGAGAAGGATCACCGATACCATTTCGCGTCAGTGGTGGTGTTTTCGGCCAGCGACACCAGGGCGGCAAGGGATACCACTTCGCAGGAAAAGGGCGGCGCAATCCTATAAGACGGGACGGCAAAGTCATGAAGTGCCTGACGAAATGCTGCGAGAGCGAGTTCCACCTGGCCATGGGCTGCCCGCGCTGGCAATGACACGGGAAAGGAGGCGCAGGATCGTTCGTGGCCAACGGACCGCGACTTGTGTCTGGGCAGGACAGTCTGCACCTAGGTTAGGCTTCAACGCTGGACAGACGGTGAGTTCGGGGAATACATTGCCGATGCTTGCTTCAGTCAGCTCCCCGGCATTCGGATCAGGACCGGTGAGTTTCTGCGCGCTGGAGACGAGGATGAGCGACCAGAGGCGCGACGGCACGACTGGGCACGGCGTGAGTGCGGAGGGCCCCCGAGGCTTTACAGGCGCGGTTATCGCGCCGGCAGCTCCCGAGGCGATCGAGGACTACCGACCGGACGAACAGGGGCCAAGACCGATGGCCCACGATATGGGGCCCCCTACCGGTGCAGAAGCAAGTTCATGTTCGAGCAGCGGACCGATCTTTCCGTCGATTCCGATGCCAACATGCAGCTCAAAAGCGGCGAAGATCGGCGGACCAGGACACGCTGGGTTTCGAGCGACCCTGCCCAAGATCGGCGAGGTGACGGCCGCGTCGAATGCGACGCCTATCGAACGGCCCTCTGGTCTGGAGCATATATTGGGACTGTCTTCGATCACGGTTCCGAAGGGGGCCCGCGAAGGCGAGAGGCCGAGGGCAGCGCAGGAGTCATCAGCGACCGAGAACGAGGACAATGAGGCGCAGGACGTGCAGGCCACTAACGTTGGAGGTTTGTCTGTCCGCCCAGCGCCTGGAAAGGTTCAGATGGCCGCCCCCCTGAGCGTCAGCAGCTGTGCTCACGGCTAGATGGCAAGCTGGGGTCGCTCGGCAAGCAACCCTGGGAACGCGACGGTGCCTACCGCTGAAGCAGAAAAGCAAATCGATTTTTAGACCTTCGACCCGGAGACCGAGAAATACCTCTGGCCCGGACGTCGAGGACAAGGCGCGCCTGAGTATGGCGAGAAGCTGTATTGGGAGCCAGTCGCCAACGAGTCACACAAGAAGCCTTTCTCGCACGACGAGCACGACGACAATCTCGAGCGAGTAGAAACAGACGATGATCCCCTGAAGAACGCTGACAAGAAGAACGAGCATGCTGGCGGCATCGACTTCAGCGACAGCGGTGACTTCGACGGCGCGGTCTGGACGCTGGACGTCGAGAGCAAGGAGCACCACCTAGGCCGCGAGCGCACGAGGCTAGACTGTTGCGAGATGGGCATCTTAATGGGTCCAGGCGCGCATGGCAATCTCGCTGGAAAACGATGGGCAAGATAACATGCAGAGAAGGCCAAGCAGCTTCAGCATGCTACCGAGGAATCCGCGCTGCGAGAGCCGTTGGAGGTCATCGGGGTTGGGAATGGACTTGACTACGGTCACCACCAATGGAAAATCCCCATCGGCGCGCAGGAGATGCATCCGGATAACGACGGCGCCGGCACCCCGGACACCTACACAACGCCGATAATTCATGGAAAAGACGCGCCCGCGATGTTGGGAAACAGTTCGTTGACGGAGGTCGACGCGATCATCGAGCGCGGCCCTGGCATTCTGCACTTGCGCGGGCCAGGACGTCGAGGACTTGTTCTACCAGCGGGCGCGCGCAGCTACAACCAGAAGGGAAGTGGGGGCGGACATTAGATGCTACCGTGTTCGAGGTTCAAGCGAGCAGCTTCGTCGAGTAGTGCGGGATATCCAATTGATCGTTTGCAGCCTCAAGCAGAACACTTGGATTTCGCGTGGAATGCGTTCCGGAAGGAGATGAGTGGAATGGGCCGGACAGTCAACGGCCGGATTTGCGCGCTGAATGTCGCGGACACATTTAGCAGAAGTGTTGGAATGGCTCCCAGCACTCACTGAAGAAGCATGTCATCTACATGGAGGGCATCCCCAGCAGGAAGTGGGCGAGCATCAAGGAGATCCTTAGCGAGAAGAAGCCCGAGAAGGAGGTTGGCTGAGGAGGATTCGAGGTGCTGCCGTGCCCGGCAGCTTTCTCGAAATCTGCTTGGGCGCAGGGCCCCGGCCGCGGCGTCCGCGGCGGTTGCTGAGCGCCGTTCGGCGACGCCGCGTCATGCTCAAGTTCTTGGTCACCAGTTGGGTTTGGCAATTGCGATGCGCGCGGCGCGAGAAGGAGGATTGCCGATCGCGCAGGTGGTGGCTCACGACAAGGTGATAGGCAAGGAGGCGCGAAAACTCAAACGACATCTCACCGAAGCGCGTTTCCAGCTACTTCGGGCAGATCTTCCAGGACGTCGAGGACTTGAGCGAGGACATCGACCACAACGGCGACTGCGACTCCTTGAGGACTGTCCCAGGGCACAGATTGCTGGGATCGGAGACGCCATGCTAGTTGCTGAGCGTGGCAGCTCTATGTGGGCGGACCCTACTGTGCTGAGGCTCAGGAAGGGCGTGCCCCACGAGGTGGAAATACCTGGGTGTTCATTCGATGTGCAGTCTATGCCGGATGAATCAGGCGAACGAGGATGGAGTGATCAAGTTGATCGCAATCAGTCGTCGTTTCCGATCCAAGCTCGACCATGCCAATGCCTAGGAAAAGGGCGCATACACAAGTGTGATTGGTGGAGTTCGTCTGGAAGTGGCCAACGAAAGCGGCAGCGAGACGAGCAGCACATGATCTACTTGGTGACGATGTTTCTCCAGATCAACGTCGCCCTCTCGATGGAGGGTGGCCGTTCACCACAAGAGTGTAGAACAGCAGATGCGGCAAGAAGCGCGGCGAACCCGGACAACACTTCCTACCCGACAGAGTCCAGGACGCGCTTGAAGATGAAGTCATTGATCGACAAGCCGAGGGGGGTCAGGAGCCAGAAGTTCGAGATCGAAAACCACTTCGATGACTGCGGTGGCGACATCAAGGGCTTTGCCATGGATGACTCTCTCTTCGCGATCTACGAGGACTCGGACATGTACTCGGACGACGACGACTATGGTACGTTATCCCGTTCGTAAAGGAGGAGTTCTACGACGGCAGCAGTTACGCGTCATGCCTACGCGGAGTGGCCAGAGATGATGGAGCCACGTGGTACGAGGGACCTGGAGTCAGGAAAGCAGCCCGTTTATCGCATTTGGTGGCGTATTTTACGCAGGCCGTTTCGGACATGGACGTCTTGGAAATTTGTGGCGGAATGGGCTACGTCAGCCGCACTTGCGCGGGAAGGACATGCCGAGTTGGACCCGACTTCGACATCGCGTGTGGACCAGACCTGATAAGACGCAACGAGCAGTGGGCATTGTGGCAGTACCAGGAAAATGGAGTTATGGTGTGGTCATGGCGCCTCCCTGCACGCCTTACGGGCGCTTCTCCAATTTGAATATGGTCAACGCACAGGACAGCTGGATGGAAAGCTACAGGCGCTGCAGGACACTTGAGATGCTTTGTGGAGAGGTGGCTGTGCATCAGTTTCGCAAGGGGAGAGCGTTCCTCAATGAAAATCCAGCAGGATCGAAGCTGTATAAAGAACCACCTTGGCAGAAAGTGGCACGATCACTTGGAGTTGTCTACGAAATTGTGGATCTACGCGCGGCAGGTTTGAAGAGCGCGCGAGGTTTGTCACGCGGCGCGCTCACGGATACCTAGAGAGTGCAGGATTGCTACGCCTCGAGTTCGGATATGGAAGTGCAAGCTGTGCATGCGTGGCAAGCCTGAAGATGCACCTGGACATGCTCTCGCGGCGGGCCAGTGCCGGTGGGCCACCGACATCGGCCCCAGACCGGCTGGCGGAGGACGCCGACAACCGCGAGCAGCAGCTAACGATCCAGCACCGGGAGCAGAAGCACCGAGACCCGATGGAGTGATGGACGCAGCAGACGTTCCAGATAGAATTGAGCGACCTCAGGTACCAGACCCACCAGTGCCACCAGAAGGAGATCGAGGTATGGACGCAGATTGGTCTAGTTGGGATCTGGGCTCGGCGAGGCGTGCACTCTTCGGCAACAACGAGCCAGTGTCACGCAGGGTATTGCGACGGCTACATCTGCGCTGGTTCCATGCCAACAAGAAGGCCATGAAGAGGATGCTGACAGCTGGAGGCGTACCGCCAAAGGTGCTACAGCTCGTGGGCGATGTTGCGGGCACCTGCCGAGTCTGCAGATTGCGGATGAAGAACGGCACCAAGGCGACGACAACCGTCGAGCTCAGCATTCAGTTCAACGACGAGGTGCAGTTCAATGTGTTGTTTCATGAACGTCGTGTGATTGGTCATCTGTGCGATGGTTGCTCCAGGTTCACGGTGGAACGCGAGCTGGTGGACAAGACGATCGAGGCGCTCTTGGACTTTATCTGGACCGGCTGTATACAGGTTTTCGGCCCGATGGCAGTACTGACGGTTGACGGCGGAGGAGCCATGGTGTCTGAGGAAGCTGGCGTTGCCCTGGGCCGCATGGGCACCGCGCCGAAGCTCAAGGCTCCAGGACAATGCGCCCAGGTCGTCGACGCCATCGCGATATTCTAAGGAAGCAGTTGCACCTCATCGACGCCGCTCTCAGAGAATATGGAATCGAGATTCCGTTCGCCAGGAGGCTGGCCGAGGCTGCGTTCGCCAAGAAAGCCTTCTTGACCATCGGCGAGGGCACGCCCTGCAAGGCGCGGCGCGGACGTGCGCCGCTGATGCCCAGGGATTTTGATTGGAGTGGCGCTCGGGAGATCGATGACGAGGACGGGCTGGCTATGTTTAGATATTATCAGAGGCTTCGTGAGATAGCCGCAGCGTCTATCGTGGAGGCGACCGCCCAGGCCAGAACGGAGCGAGCAGCGAAAGCGAGGACGGCGCCGGCGGCAGAATACCTACAGCTGGAAGTTGGCGATCTCGTGGGCTTCTGCAAGCAGGCCAGCGCGCCGATGGACGTGCCCGACTGGATGGGGCCAGCCAAGGTCGCATCAGCAGCAGCACCAGGGACGGGCACGGTTTCGGTACACTGGCAAGGAAGGGATTTAATTGTTAACGTTCCAGATGCGCGACGTGCGATCTTGCACTGCTACGTGGTGTCCTTCATGACCGTCGACAACCTTGGAGAAGGATTGGAGCATTTGGGCTGGGCGAGCACGTCGGCAGGATGGGCGCTGACACGCGCGTGGAGGAGATGCCATGCTGTCGCGGCGGCTATGTTGCAAGTGGCTTCGTGTGGTCTACATATGGGTGCGTGGCAGCTCGAGTCGGCGGGCAGGTGCCCGCGCTGCCAGGCCTCCACGGTTTTGAGTCTTATCCGATGTATGGTTCGATTGCTAGACGACAAGGTAGAGGAGATTCTGAAGTGGAGGCACTGTGCTATGTTGAAGGTGCTGCAGCGGAACATCTCAGTCTTCGCCATATCTTCGGGGAGTTAAAGTGGAGTTCTTGATATTTCATGCATTTTCTGACTGTTGAGCCCGACGTGCTGGGCGCGATGCAAGAGCGATCACCGCATATTCCTCGCGTTGCAGGACCTCGCCTGCCTGGAGTTGAAACGCGGAGAAGGCAGCGCCAGCCGATGGGCAAGAGACCCCGATCGGCAGGATCACAAGGTTCTGAGAATCCCAGAGAACACATCGCCCGGAGACTGGGAGACAATCCTCCAGAACCACCACCTGGTCTTCCGGTCCCTGAAGAAGCTCCGGCAGCAGTAGCAGCTGAAGATCAACCAGCAGAAGTGATTGAGCCGGAGGGGGTCTTTTTCAGCGCGGCGGCGCTGTGGGCGATACCTGAGGAGCTCAGCGGCAGCCCCACTGATACGGATGATGACACTTGCATGAACATGATCTGATGCCTCGCCGAGGAGCCAGACACATCAGTGATCGACCGGAACGAAGTGATCAAGGATTACGATATCACGGAGGCGCGGTTTGCACAGGACATCAAACGTGACAAGATGACCGACGAGGTGACGGAATCCCTGCAACCCTAGAAGGTGATGCAGATTGGCTTTTCAGCGGGAGCACGGAATATGTTTTGCGAACCACGTGTCGTGGGAGATTATGGACATGAGGACGACGATGTTGTTCTCAGTTTCTACGAGGACGGTTCGGCCAACGCAGTGATAGAGATACGACGGCCTGCTGATTTTTGCCGAGAAGATCGAACATCGAGAAGCAGTTCGTGCAGCACGTGTCAAATAATTGAGACGCCGGGCTGGATTCGAGGCAATGTCGAGGAGAGGGGGACCTCATAGATGCCAGGTGGGTCGACGCATGGAAGTGGACGCAAACAGCGGACGTCACCATGGCGCCGGTCATCCGTGGTCGGCTTACTGTTCGCGGATTCAAGGACAGGCATAAGGACGAGGGCAAGACGTCGACGGCGACGAGTGCCAGATGGGGACGGAGAATGGTTAACATCCTCGCGGCACAACGTCGGCGGAAATTGTGTAGCGCCGACATATTCGGCTTTTCTCCAGGGGCTGAGTTTTGAGGTCGCGACGTTGCTCAACGAGCCGGTCAGAGACACGTGCTTCGAATTGCCGAAAGGAACGGCCGGGCTATTGTGCGAGGTAGAAGGCATTGAGGGTTGCAATCCCATGCTGGAGGTGCTACGTATGGAGAAAGGAGGTTTTGGTTTCAATGACGCGCCCCGGCTATCTGGTCCACGCCGAGATCAAGCGCTGCTAGCGTGTGGGCTACGACTGGCACATGCAGATCCTCAGTTGTGGTTGAAGCACGCCGAGAAAGTTTTGGTGGCGGCGGCTTCTACGCATTTGGATAATTTGAAATATGCTGGCGCGGGCAAGGCGACAGGTGATATGGCTGCAGCTCTAGAGGCAGTATTTGGTAAGATGGCGATGAGTGAAGGCAATGTTGCTCACTGTGGACTTCGCCACAGTCAGCTTGAGGAAGTATCGATGCGGATCACGTCGAGCACAGCAATAACCTGAATCGTATCGACGAGAAGGAGTTTCAAGGCAAGGGTGACGTCGATGATCCACCTGAGAAGCACGTGAAGCTTTGCCCTTTGTTGTTGGGCGCTATTGCGTGGTGTATTATGACGTGAATTGATATATGCATTTATGTAGTTGCCCTACAGCGGCACGGGGCGGCCCCACAGGTCGGAGACATCAGGGCTATTTTTTTTTGAAGGTGCAACCCTTGTCTCTTGGTTCCGAGGCAGTTGGGGTTGCAAGCGAAGCTTGTTGCGGTTTTGAGATGCTGCGTTTCGACGCAAACCCGACGACAAGGGCTTAGCCATGCGTGGAGCAGTTTACCTTCATATCGAGGCAAAACAGGAGATCGGAGGCAGGTGCAACGTGCTGGAGTATTATGCGAGGAAGCAGGCACACGTTGCACGATCGACATGGGATGCCGAATTATGTCAGCTATCATAATGCTGTGAGTATTTGTTATTGGTGGCTGGATTCTTGACGGAGATACAGACGGGAACGCTCACATCGATACAGCTGCGCGACATGGTCGAGGGCAGCGAGAATTGTGTAGCACCATCGGTGGAGCTGGAGGCCTGCGTAGACGCACAAAGTGAATTTTCCAGTGGTATCACAGGCGGGCAGGTGCGCATCCCGGCCGAGACACATACGCTAGACCACGCACAGTGGATACGCGAGCTACTGGACAGAGCAATTCTCGGCCGGCTGTGGTTGATCGGCACACGAGAGTGTTGTGCCGACGGGCTCACGAAGGGATCAGTTCTACGAAACGCACAGGTGTGTCGCACGTGGCGAGCGGAAGGTTCTACACCCGGCCATCCCATGGAAGTTTTCCGGGAAAGTGCTCCAGAGCAGCAGCGGCTCGAGTTGAGCACCCAGGAGACGATCGTGGGTTTTTATTTGTTGTGCGGCAAGTCGTGACGGCACCAGGACGCCCGGACCCGACCGCACGAGCTCGGAAGCACATGCATGTTGTACATGACTGTGAAGACGAATCAGTTCGTGTACGTCTTGCTTGCGGTGTTCGAGGCTATATCCTCGTTGTGGATCGATTGCGCGCCGGAGATCAACGAGCGCGACACGTTCACCACCAGAGTCGAGATCCTTCTGCAGGACGTCCCCGACGAGTAACAAAGGACGGCGACGCCCGTGTCGCCGTGGTTGGCTCAAGGCCTCGCGACTGAGGAGGAGGAAGGGGAGGAGGAAGCGAAAAATGATGATGATGATGCTGATGATGACGATGATGATGATGATGGTGATGATGATGGTGATGATGGTGATGATGATGAAGATGATGATGCTGATGGTGATGATGATGATGATGAGGAGGAGGAAGAGGACCAGGAGGAAGAGGAAGAGGAGGAAGAGGAAGAGGAGGAGCGGGAGGAGGAGGAGGAGAAGGAGGAGGAGGAGGAGGACGAAGAGGACGAGGAGGAGGAGGAGGGGGGGACGAGGACGAAAACGAAAACGAGGAGGAGGAGGAGGAGAGGAGGAGGAGGAGGAGGAGGGGGGGAGAGGAGGAGGAGGGAGGAGGAGGAGGAGGAGGAGAGAGGAGGAGGAGGAGGAGGAGGAAGAGGAGGAGGACGAGGAGGAGGAGGTGGAGGAAAAGGAGGACGAAGAGGGAGGGGACGAGGACGAGGACGAGGACGAGGAGGAGGAGGAGGAGGAAGAAAAGGAGGACGAGGAGGAGAAGGAGGAGGAGGAGGAGGAGGTGGAGGACGAGGACGAGGACGAGGACGATATTGAGGACGAGGTCGAGGACGAGGACGAGGACGACGACGAAGACGAGGAGGAGGAGGAGGAAGAATAATAGTAAGAATGATAATACTAACAAAAATAAGTATAGGAATAATAATGGTAACACTACCAATGAAATTGACACGAATAATGATAATAAGCATACGAATCATACTAATACGAAGACGAATGCGAAGACGACGACGCAGAAGAAGACGAATACAAACACGACTGAGAACAATAATAATAAGAAGACGGATAATAATACTCATGATAATAAGAATACTAATAAGAAAAATACGAAGTATAATAATATGAGTAAGAACAATAATCCTAATATTAATGACACTACGACTAATAATACTAATACTACTGAACATAAGAATGTGAATAAGACGCATAACACGAATACGACGAACATGAATACCAACAAGACGAAGAAGAATACGACTACTACTAACAACAATACTAAACATAGTAATAATAACAAACGAATAAGAGGACGAGGAGGATGTTGTGCTCCTCCGTGGGTCGCCGAGCATGCCAGCTGCGGGGGTGCATTACGCACCGAGCTCACTCCCTTGAGTGAGGAAACCAAGATCTTTGAGAGCCCAGCTCTCGAGGACGACCTCCTTCCTATCCGTTATTGGGTGGAGACCCCGGTCGAAACGGCTTCTTCGTTCCCTGCCCATTTTGTTCAGGACAACGCCAGGCCGTCTGGCAGGGCACGTCTTGGCCAAGCCGACGGGGTGGTGCTGCGCATATTGCGCACACTGGACACAGTACAGCACACATTCACCCTGATCGGGTGGGCAGCCCTTGGGGCCAATCACCACACCCCATAAAACGTGCGAGCCCGCGAACTCTCGCAGGCTCCTCCAGCTCTTGGGCGCCTCACGCCCACATTCTGAGGCCATGCCAGCCTTCCAGCTCCAAAATCCGTGCAAGCACTGGACGCACCGCCAGCGGCCTTCGGCCACCTCGTGCAGCTCGTGTTGCAGAAAACATGGCCTCACTGCCGTGGGAGGCCTAGCACGCGGGGGCAGGTGTGCCCACTCCGCCTTGGGAGCAGGCCCACTCGCCAGCACCCGTCCCATATTCACCAGTCCACGCCGCGCCTCCGCGCAGGCGTCTTCCAGGGCCGCCTCATCTTGGGCCCGCCTGGGCCACAGGTTGAGAGCCTCTTTGGCCGCTTCGTCGGCCCAAGAGTTGAGGACGATCCGCCACTCTCCCTCGGTCTGAGGGGCGGTCGGCACGTCCTGCTGCGACTTTACCTTCACCCCTGCA